TCCGGACTTTGTGACTTATCAGCTATGTAACCTTGGGCGAGCCTCTCACCCTAACTCTAAATTCCCTCCTCTGCGGAAAGCATCTGATAATACCCGCCTTCAACGTAAGGGAAGCAGCAGTGACTATCAGTGCAAAGCACGTATCCAGATCTCTATAACCAGAGATTGCTAAATGGGAGCTATTATTTTTACTATTAAGACGACTTCTCTCATGACAGAACAAGGTATAGCATTCTTTTTCGCGTTGTCACTATTCCTGCTACTACTGCTATGATTATTTACATTTTTCCTTACTTCTAAAGGGGGTAAAAAAAAAAAACAAAAAAAAACACTTGCTTCTCCTACTGGCACTTTCCTTGTCGTCCCTTGGAAATGACCAGGGGAGGCGGTTCGTTGCCTCACGGGCGGGGGGACGGCAAAGCAGGGGAGGCACGGTCCTCACTGGCAGCTGGACCGGCGGGTTCGCGAAGGACGGACAGAATGGACAGGAAGAGAGACTTGACCAGGCGAAGGCCCGGAGGCTGGACAGGCTGCGGCTTATTCGGGGAGCTTCAGGCACAGTGGCTCCTCTTGGCTGGGACAGAGGGTAGGGAGGAGATAAACGGCACAGAGAGGGTGCAGAGGCCATGATTCCAGTGGGGCTTCCTGTCCAGCCCGCGCTCTTCTAAGCCCTCTCTGGCCAACGACGTATTTAGTCCTCACAGTCAGTCCCATTTTATAGAGGAGTAAATGGAGGCACCGAGAAGTTAGGCAATTTGCCCAAGGTCACACAGCAAGCTCATGTCAGATCCGCATCCAATGCCCGTGCTCATGACCACGGTCCCAGGAAGGCACTGCTTCTTTTTTCTCTGTGACATTCAGACAGGTGTCCCAAAGCCGGAAAAGAAACAGACCCCTCCAGAGTCACGAGGAAGCAAGCTGAAGCCAGCTTGGGTGGCCTGGAAGCCTCTCTCTCGCTCTCTCTCTCTCTCTCTCTGTCTCTCTCTCTCTCTCTCTTTCTCTCTCTCTCTCTCGCTCTCTCCCTCTCTCTCAATCTCTCTCTCTCTCTCTCTCTCTCCCCGCTCCCAGCGTGCAGAGGTGGATTTTTAGAAGTTCCTGAACATAAAACCATTTCCATATAATTATGCGTCCTTGACCTACATGTCATTTGGCTGTCGCATGGGCCGAAGGCACACAAAAACAATTTCTCCAATCAGACAAAATTGCTTCCCAAGGTCCCCAGGTGATCAGACATTGTCTTCTGGGCATGGCCTGTTCCCCGTCCAGCCACGTCCCCTGGCACAGGTGCTGGCCCTTGAGCCCCCCTCCCCGTCTGCCGGGAGAATGCAGGTCCCATGATGGAACAGGACGTCCGCCAGCCCTCGGAGAGCCGGCCACCAGCACCGTGCATCGGAGAACTTCCCAATGTTCTGGAACATCCAGATCCCACAGAACCTTCCCCTGCCACCCGAGGAGGGAAGCCGGTGCATCCTTCGAGAAGTGTCACCTCTCGGCATTTCGCTGGCTCCTGTCGAATTTTATACGTGAGCAAGGGACAATGCCCACCCCCCGTGTCTGAAAGCTTCAGTGAAGTGTGTAAAGGACCCTCTCTCTGCTCCTCACCCCCCACCCACCCTGTCTCCCATTGGGAGCCCCTGTTCCTGGTACAGAAATAATCAGCTGTCACTCAGTAAACCCTCTGAGGCTCAGAGCCCTGCGAAGACTCTCGGCCGCCTGAGGACAGAGAAGCCACACTGGGCCGCGCAGCCACCCGCCTGGTTAGAACCGGGTGCTGCGGCTTCTTTGCCTCTTCTCCTACCAGGCGCCCCTCCCAACTCTCTCTCCCCGCAGGGGCAGCCGATGACAGAAAAGAGCGAGGCCTGCGGGGGAACTTGCTGAAGTTAAGGGCAGCGCCATGTGGAAATGCGGGCCCGGCTTGGCCTCCCCTTCTGATTTGCAAAGGAAGCTCAGATCATCAATTGGACATGAAATCCTAGAACTTATAATTATGGCAACCGATTCAAAATAATCTTCAAGACACATGAGCGGCCCAGAATACACCCGTTCATCCTCTGGCCTGGGACCTTGATTCTCTGCTGAACTCCTAGCTGTTCCAACGGCGTGCCTCCTGGCCTCTGCGCATTCCGATCCCCGTCGTTGGCAGGCTTTGCTCCCAGTGTTTCCATGTCACTGCATCCACGCCACTTCCTCCAAGAAGTCTTCCGTGATCCATCATCCTCTAAGTGCTCCCATATCTGTCCTCTGCTGTTTGGGGCCTTCCCTCTGGGTATCTATCTGGCTCTGCCAAGCTAGAAGCTCCAAGAGGGAAGACACGGGTTCTTCTGGCTTACCGTGACATGGCAGCGGGTAGCAAGGTGCCCGAACACGGTCGGGAGTCGACCGCGGTGGCAGAAGGAAGGGAAGGGGCACTGGCCTGAGTAGTCCTGGTGAAATACAAAATCCTCCTCACCTGAGTCTCTGGGTTGGGCTGGTGAGCCACAAAAAATAACATCTGCTGAGCACTCTCTCCCTGCCAGGTCCTCTTCTGTGTACTTGCGTTAATGCCGACGAGAACCTATAACCCCATTTTACGGATGAGGAACGTTACGGCGTGGAGTGTTGAAGAAAATTCGCCAGGATCGCAAAGCTAGAAATGGATAAACTTCGGATTCAACCGCACAAAGTCTGGTGTCAGCATTGGCACTTCTCGCCTCTCTGCTTTTCAACAGAGAAACGAACAGTATTTTTGAGGACCTACTACATGCCTACTAGAGGGCCTTGATGAACCCGCCCGTCCGTTCATCCGCCAATCCATCCATCAGCCCGTCCGTCCGTCCGTCCGTCCATTCGTCTGTCATTCTTATCCCACCAACACCAACAGAGTGCGTACTCTTTGCCTGCCCTGTGATAGGCCTTCGAGGCTCCCAGAAAAGAGACTCAGTCCCTGCCTTCCAGAGGCCCCCAGGTAATGGATGATGAAGCTTTTGAAGGAAATCGTTACAAAGAACGCGTTAAACACCCTCGTCAATGAGGTTCTTAACTCAGCTCACCGAGATCGGGGAAGGCTTTAAAATGACAAGTCCGCCAAGCAAAGGGCTGGGGGCAGGGTGGGCGCTCCAGGCAGAGGGACAGCCGCTGCGGTGCCAAGAAGGTGAGCGGGTGCCGCGGCTCAGCCGCCGACTTGTGAGGCAATGAGCACGGTGCGTGCGCGTGGCGGCCAAGGCCGCGGAGGCGTCTGCTTGGCTGTGCGAACACGCCGGCTTTCGGCTATTGAGCAGAGGTCTCCCACCGGCGACCCACGGGCCACAGCGAATGTGTGTGTGTGTGTGTGTGTGCGTGTGTGTGTGTGTGTGTGCGCGCGTACACGCGTGCCCACGTGTTGCCTGCGGGCCTCTCTCGAAACGCTGGGGGGCCTGGCCATGGCCGGCTATCACTTTCTGCGGGGGAACCAGCAGCTGGAGCCAGATAGTCAACTGCCCTGTTGAAATAGGGTGTGAGCTTCTAGTTCACTGCAGCTGCCCACATGCCCGCCTCATGCACGATGTCACCTGCCTGCCTGGCTCCCGCTCCCGTTCGGCTTACAAGGCCTAGCACAGAGCCACTGAGGAGAGCAAGGTGGGGTTGAAATGATTCCTCATGCTGGGATGACTTATTCAGTGATGTCTGAGCACCCCGAACCCCGGGAATGAGTCTTGTCCTCCCGAGAGCCCGATCCAAGCTCAGCACAGAATTGGGCCTCACTAAACTTACGCTGAGCTGCATTGGATTCACATGGAAGATTCTGGCACAAAACCTTTTCTCAAGGAGCTGACAGTCTCAAAAAGATCTCTCTCACACACTGAACACTAAATTAATTTCCAATTAATTTCCAATTACCCTTGACCACAGTCCCTGACTCATTGTCTGCAGTAAACCGTCAGTAACTTTCAGTGTCCTCAAAACTGTAACCGGCACTTCGGCATGTCTGGATGCTGTGGTCGTCTATATTCGTTATTATTCATTCATTCATTCGCTCGTTCGTTCAACAGGTATTTATCAAGCACCTACTGCAGGGGAGAGGCCAGTGTAAGAGGTTGGCAACATAGTAATAATAATAATAATGATAATAAGCAACACAGATACACTTCCTGCCCTTCAAGACTTCTAACCCGCCTAACGGTTAAGATGGTAAAATTTATATAGCACGCGTGGCACCCGGCACTGTTCCGGGCACCTTTTAATGCTCCCCGAAGCCTGCAGTGAGTATTAGCTCATCACCCTCTTCGTAGATGAGCAAACTGAGGCATGGGGAGGTTGAATAAATGGCCCACGGTCGCACGGCTAGAAAGTAGCAGCGGCAGGTTGGAATCCTCATAGCCTGGCCCCAGAATCTGTCCTCTCTGTCACCTGAACTCCCGGGATGACCCTGGGAGCCCTGACGTGCCTCCTGAAGCACCAGGGTGGTGGTCACTTCTGGCGGCGTCCACAGCCACGAGCCCCTGGGCTGGGAGATTAACCATAACGTGCTCTGAAACTGGTGTATAGAGTAGCTTTATTTTTCCTCTGATATCGCGTTACTGCTTTTTCTTAAGTTGGAGGCACGTGATGCAGGAGTAATACTAGAAGCAGCTAGAGGTGCAAAGTCAACAGCCGACGGCTGTAGTTTACATGTGGTCTTAGCTACAAGGCAACCAGCTCTCTCTGGGAAGAGACGCCTCACGGATAGAAAGACAGCGTGGGCCTCCTTCGCCCATGCCGCTGCTGGACCATAGTGTGCCCATCTCCATCATCCCTTGCCTGCCTCTGTGCAGCCTTCCCAGGCCCGGTGCCGGAAGGCATTGCCACGTTCTCTCCATGGGCCCAAGAAAATGCCTGGACCTCCTGGTCACACTCACTGCTTGGACATGCAACCTCT